ACTGTAAATCTTGGGATCATGACCCGAGCCGAAGGCAGACGCTTAACAACTGAGCCACCCAGGTGCCCCTAAACTGTAAATCTTAAATAAATTATTGACCAAGGCCACAACTACAGATCTCATTTATCTGCTCCCAAAGTAACTCTAATTCTTTATGAGGAACCGATTAGGAAGGACTTATTTTAGTTTCTTTTAACCTACGTGATTTTAAGCTTTAATTGCTCAGTCACTTTTAGAGACTAAAAGAGTTCTGGCCAAGGAGAAGAGAGAAAAAAGCAAATTCTAAAATTCTAGCAAAACAAAGAACTGCCAAGATTCAGTATAACTCACACGTGTGCAAAATACCACTAACTATAAAACTATTCATCACAACATTTTCTATAGCAAATTTTGGAGACAATCTAAGTCAGCAATAAACAATTGGTTAAATTAAGGTCTAACCACATGGTTCCACAAAGAACCCCTTTAAAAAATGAGTCGCCTCAAAGATATATTGGTGGGGGCAGGGCGCCTGGGTGGCTCAGTTGGTTAAGCAACTGCCTTCTGCTCAGGTCATGATCCTGGCGTCCCAGGATCGAATCCCACATGGGGCTCCCTGCTCAGCAGGGAGTCGGCCCCCTCTGATCCTCCTCGCTCTCATGCTGTCTCTCATTCTCTCGCTCTCAAATAAATAAATAAAATCTTAAAAAAAAAAAAAGAAAGATTGGTGGGGGGCGAGGAGATTAAGGTATTTGCATCAGGAGGAGGGGAAATAGGCCTAAATATACATACTAAATCTCTCTGGTCTTTCTGGAAGAATACACAATAAAAATAATGGTTGTCTGGGCAGGCAACTGGAATGCTGAAGGGCAGATGAGAGTCTTTAACTTTCTCTATGTACCTGTTAGAACCCTTCAAATGCTGCACTCCATGTATTTCCTATTAGACAAAATAAAAAATTGATTTTTTAATGATTTAGAGATTAACTTTTAGCTCAGAGATTAACTTTTAGCTCAGACATTGATTTAGATAGAAATCTACTAAGCAATAACGTCAAATTATGATATAGAATAACTCTCCTAAAACTTTCTTCTAAAGATTGAAGCACATTCATTCATTCATTCATTCAATATTTCAGTGCCTACTACACTACATCCTCTAGGTATTAGAGTAATGCCCAAGAATCCCTGCCTTTGTGGAGCTTTAGTAGGAGCAGAGATAAAGAATAAATAATATAACTTCAAATAGTGATAAGTGCTATACAAAGGAGAGGAGGAAATATGAGGATAATGAGGAACTCAAAGGGAGGGGAAGAGGAAAACTGTGTCTTGGGATAATTAAGGTAGACCTCTCTGAGGATGACATGTGAGCCAAGAACTGAACGATACGCCAAAACAGGTAATGTAGTAAACAGAAGGAAAGCCCTGTGACTGGAACAAACTTAGCCTCTTATTGTTCAGATAGAGCAAAGCAACATTGTGGTTGCAGTAGAGTGACCCAAGGACAGACATGCAGGAGATGACCTCAGAGGTAGGCAGATGCAAGGAAGGCCTTGTAATTACGGGGGGAAAAAGTCAAGATTTTAAGTGTGGAGAGCCTTTCTAGAGTTGAGAAGGGGAGTGATATGATCTGTATTTTTAGAAAGTAACACTAGCTGCTGCTTAGGAGACTAATACAGTAGGCTAGACAACAAATGATGGGATTGAACAGTGGTTTCAGAGAGATGGGTAAATGTAGCTGATTAAGAATATATTTTGGGCGCCTGGGTGGCTCAGTTGGTTAAGCGACTGCCTTCGGCTCAGGTCATGATCCCAGGGTCCTGGGATCGAGTCCCATATCGGGCTCCCTGCTCAGCAGGGAGTCTGCTTCTCCCTCTGACCCTCTTCCCTCTCATGCTCTGTCTCATTCTCTCTCACTTAAATAAATAAATAAAATCTTTAAAAAAAAAAAAAAGAATATATTTTGAAAGTTGATGCCCTAGGGAATTTGCTAGTGGATTGTATATGGGAATCGGAGTAGGACAGTAAATGAGTGAACAGTAATTCCAAAAAATCATCTTATATCTGTATAGTTAAAGTTATCAAAGTACATTTACATAGTCATTTCATAATAACAAGAAGCAGGGGAAGGTCACACTGGGTCAAGATCCAAGATCTGTCCCTTGCCAGTTTTAAGACCCTAAGAAAGTCATCTGAATGGGTTTCTAGACTATAAAGGTAGTCTACTTCACAAGATCAAGATCTACAAGTATTAAATAGTATAAGACTTTTGTAAATGCAGGAGCACCTGGCTGGCTCAGTTGGTGGAGTATGCAACTCTTGATGTCGGGTTGTGGATTCAAGCCCCCCATTGGGTGTAGAGATTACTTAAAAATAAAATCTTAAAAAAAAAAAAAAAGAATTTTGCAAATGCAAATAATGACCAGTTAGAGATAAAAAGAATCCTATTAATAGCTGTCCAATGAAAGATGGGTGTGTTCCTACAATTCAGGACAGTACAGCTACCTACCCTGCACCACCACCACCAGCACATTCCACATGGAATCCTGTATTGCAGATGACAAAAAAGAGGCAAACTTTCTAAAAATTCTGATTAAAAAACAAACATTTTCGGGTACCCGGGTTGCTCAGTAGGTTGAGCGTCCAACTCCTGGTTTCGGCTCAGGTCATGATCTTATGGGTCTTGGGATCAAGCCCAGTCTGGGACTCCGTGCTCAGCGGGGAACTGCATGAGAGTCTCTCCTGCCCCTCCCCCAACTCATTCTGCACACATTCTCTCAAATAAACAAATAAATCTTAAAAGAACTGTTTTCACTGATTATGGGAAAATACACAAAAAATAGTAAGCACTAGAAAACATATTATAGTTTTGCAATCCTTCCTAGGGACTGGAGAAAACAGTTCTTTTAAGATAAGCCATAAATGACCATTAAAGTAAAACCACCTAAATTTTCCAAGATAAAACCCAAATGAAGTCACCTTTCATTAAAGAGGTACTATCAACAAGATACTGTAAAATTAAGACCATATTTATGAATTATCACTGTCTTGGTTAAAATAGTAAAATGAAAATACCTAGTGTAAACTAAATTGTGTGCCAAAAAAACTGAATTATGAGGCCTTCAATTCACTGCCATAAATCATTTCTGTAACTTTATTAAACAAGGGTTCACAGAATTTATTTTTCCATCCAAGGCTTTCATATTACCGCAGAGTATGTCCAGAATCAAGCAAAACTGGAAAAAATGTTAAATCTTTACTTCATTATGTATTTTGGAGAATTATTAAGAATATCAATTTGTATTATGTAGTCAATAAATAACCTGAATACAGGAAACAAACATTTGAAGACATCTGGTGTACAGCTAGATCCCCCCCATCTCTAATTTTCAACTGGGGCTTCAATAAACATGATTGGGGTCTTGTGAGGAAAACCACATTGTAAGGACCATCCAAAGCATACAGCAATTTAACTGCCTTGGACAGAGCCTGAGACCCATAATACAACAAATTTTGCTCTATGAAAGTTCGTGTTAGACTGCAGCACACAATGACAATCTATCCACGTCTCTAATTTCTAAGAATTTCTACCTTATAAAAAGTGTTATTTCGGGGCGCCTGGGTGGCTCAATCGTTAAGCGTCTGCCTTTGGCTCGGGTCATGATCTCAGGGTCCTGGGATCGAGCTCCGCATCAGGCTCCCTGCTCAGCGGAAAGCCTGCTTCTCCCTCCCCCACTCCCCCTCCTTGTGTTCCCTCTCTCGCTGTCTCTCTCTCAAATAAATAAAATCTTTAAAAAAAAAGTCTTATTTCTCCAAATCAAGCAACTCTAGGTCAGAGACATCCCCCCATCTCAGATATATTTAAGTTGCACGAAGCACTGCACAATACATCACCCATTAAAAGATCTTGAACTTAGTATGCATCTCCCCTCAAACTTCAGAACAAGCTAGATTAAATACACGTTCACCATGTTATATCAAGGAAATGATGCTGCAATTTAGTCACTTTAACTCGCATATTAAGGAACACAGAAGTTCAACTAAAATTTTCATTAAAAATGACAAGAGATTTCAACGTTGTTTTTATGTATTGCAAGAAATACCGCGCATCTGAGGACCTGATATTATGTAAAGGATTTACAAAACCAGTATGTCCATTTTCATAGTTCCATATGTATTGGAACAGTTTAAACATTAAAGTGCATAAAATCGAGAGGCAAAGGATTTCACCAAGTCCCCCATACCTGCTCTGCCCCTCCCCCCATGTTGTGTTAAACTATATCCTCTGAGCAGAAACCGCTCTCAGAGTTTGGCAACCAGAGTAAAATCACTTCACAGAGATAACGAGCGGAAACGTATTTAAGAGAGGACATCACAAAAGCGAGAGCAGCGGGGCGCGCAGCCTCACGTCCCTCGACCCCCGCAGCCTGCGGCGAACATGTGCCTACGGCGGCAGGACGCGCGGCCCTCCCGGAGCCGCCTCCCGGGGCACAGGGCCCCGCCCGGCCTCACGCTCCTGGTTCATTCATTCTGAACCCGGGGCTTCCGCACCCCCGCGCTCCCGCCCGGCCCGAGAGAAGGCTCCAGGGCCGAGGGGCTGTGTCGGGCCACAACTCCCGCCCGGAGTCCGGGCCCCGCCGCGATTCGCGCGCGCCCGCGGCCTCCTCCCGGGTGGTCTGGGAGGCCGCGGAGGCCCGCGCCGGCCCGCGCCCAAGACCAAAACTCCGCAACCCCGCGGCCCCACCCTCCGCCAGGGTGCAGGCCAGGCCTTCCCCGCCCGCAAGGCGGCCACCGGGAAGCCCCGGGTCCCCGCCGCCTGGCTGCCCCACCGCGGCCGGAAGTCTCTCCGGAGCCCCCTCCCCAGCGCCTGACTTCCCTCGCCGCCACAGCCAGACCCTCTCCGCGCTGGGCTGGGGCCTCCCAGCGCGGGCCGCGGGCCGGAGGAAGGGAGGAGCCGCGCCGCCCGGTCTGCCAAGCCGCCAAGAGCAGGGCGCAGAGCCGGGGGTTGGCCTGGGCGGTTACCTTGATAATCCTGCGGGGCAGCCCGGCCATCTTGTCAGATCCCGAGTTCGGCCTCTGGTCTCGACTCCGGCTCCGCTCGCCTCACGCACGAGTGGAAGTCCAGGGCTCCACTTCCGGGGGACGTTGCCGCGCCCGCCGCCGCCGCTGCCGCCGCCGTCGCCGAGGCCCCTCGGGAAATGTAGTCCCTGCTCGTGCGCGGGCGGGCTTCCCTAGGACCTGGCCCCCTCCCCCGCGTTCCCCGCCCCAGTCCCGGCCTGGGGGTGGCGGAAGTGACGAGCCCCGGCGGGGCAGGGACTTGGGGGAGGAGGCGCGAGGCGGAGCGGAGCTCCGGCGCTCGTGGCCGAGTCCGCCGCGCGACGGTAGGATTACACGGCCGGCGCCCCGCAGGCCTCTTACCGCGGCCACGCCTGCGCCAGTGGGCGACGTAACAGAGGCGCAGCCGCGGGCGCAGCCCATTCATTCATCCGTTCGTTAGTTCGTTCATTCAACGTTTTTGTGTTGCGCGCGGCCGCAGCGGGGAACGGACTCCGGTTAAGTTGAGCCGCGGGCTCCTTCCTCAAAGGGAGGTGGAAGACTGAAACTCAGTAGCCATTCTCCTAAATGCGGGTCTCGGAAGTTATCCAGGGATACCCTAGTCATAGAGTTTTGATATTTAAATTTTGGTTTTTAAATTTCACGTAAATCGGGCCCCTTAAGCTCAGGGAAGGCTGAAAGAAAGGGTCTGGAGAGAGTTGGGGTGCAGGGAATTGGCTTCTGAACGCAGAGTTGCTAGCTGGAGGAATGACTGAGGACAGGATTAGAGAGCCCAGAGTAATCCCTGAGAGAGGGATTACCCATGGAGCGCAGGGCCCTAAAGGAAGATTAGAGTGGCGATGCCTGAAAATGGGACTGTTGGAGAAGCATTTTGTGACGTTTGATGACTGCTTGCTTGCTCTGGGATAGGCTTTTCACAGGTATTATTTTACTTAACAGCAATCTTAAGAAAGTGTCTCTACAATGAGGCTCAGAAATGTCAACTAATTTTTTCCAAGATTATGCAGGAGAAAATGGAGCTGTTTTGACCCCGAGCAGGTCTCCCAAAACATGGACCCCTTGACTGCCTAACCACAGTGTTTCCTAGCACAGCACAAACGTAGATGGTGAGTAAGGATGTGCCAGGTGCTGTGTTGGGGGGTGAAGACAATACTGCCTTCCAGTCCAATGGAGAAGAGAGACAAGTAATTAATTACAACCCAGTGTGTTAAGGGCTATAGTAGAGGTTCTTCCAAGGCGCTATTTGAGCCGAGAGAGGCATTAATTGAGAAGTCAGAGAAGGCTTTCCCAAAGAAGAAGAATTGCCCTCAAGGGTGAATAAGTCTAACAGACCCAGTAGGGAAGAGCATGTCAGGCATAGGAAATAGCCTATAAAATGGCATGGGACTACAAGAAAAAGTATATGTGTGTATACACACACACACACACACACATTGCATTAAAGAAATGGAGACTATGAATGCAAGAAATTAGTAAAAATAAGAGAATACTATGTGCTGGGCACAATGCTAAATGATTACATGGATCATCTCATCTAACTATAAAGCTCATGAGGTGGGTTCTGTTATTACCAGTGCTTTTGAGATGAGAAACCAAGCCTCAGAGGTAATAATGAGAATCTCACATAACCAGAAGTCTGAAATAAGTGGTTCTGTGATTAGAATCTGGGAAGAAGAATCTGGGAAAGTAAATGACATTGGACAAGGATACTTTCAGAATATTTTAGAGAGGGCTCAGGAGAATTCACCCTGATAGGAAGAAAAGCAGAGTGAATATTAAGTTAGAAGTGTGCTGTTCCACTTATCTGTTGTTGCCTAACAAACCGGCTCATACTTCCTGTTTAAAGTGACAACGATCATTTACTTAGCTCTTGAATCTGCAGTTTGGGCAGGGCTTGGCAGGGAAGGCTCATCTCTGCTCCATGCTGTGCTGTGTCAGCCTGGGCAGCCTGACTGGGCCCAGATCCATTTCCAAGATGGCTCACATAGCTGGCAGGTTGGTGCTGGCTATTAGCTTCTCTCCTAGTGGGCCTCTCCCTGGTAGCTGGGTTCCAAGAGTGAGTGTTCTAACTAGCAAAAACAGAAGCTGAATTGTCTTTTTTTGACCTAGTCCTGAAAGTCACATAGCATCACTCCCACTATAATCTATTGGTTGACTAATCACAAAAACCCACCCAGTTTCAAAGGTATGGGGCATGGACTCCACCTCCTGAAAGGGGAGTGGAGAGATTCTAGAAACTAACATAGTATGTGTGTGTTGGAAGATACGATTGTGGCCAATTTTGGAAAACATAAACTGTCACAGGTATGACAGTTGTCACTGTGCATAGAGCCAGCCGGCTTAGTGTCACCTGCCTGTACTGGTTAAAATAAGCATGCCTGGCTGGAGCCCTTCTCTCAGAGATTCTAATTCTCTAAGTCAGTGCCAGGGCCTGGGAACCTGCATTTAAATATCGTGAGTAATTTTGATGGATCCTAAAATTTGAGAATAAAGATTTTGAATAAACAACAAAAATGTATAAACAAAAAATATTGCCACGTGCCTTCTTTTGGCTGTTCTCTATTAGGATGGATAATGAGTATCATGCAAATTAAGAGTGAGGGCACTAGAGCCCTGGTCTAGGTTTGAGAACTTATATTTGCTATCCCTTCATTTTCTTCACCTATGAAATGTATATACTTCATGTGATTGTTGTGAAGCTTAAATAAACACTACATAGCCTTTAGCAAGGACTATTATTTTCATAATCTTGATAGAACCAGGTATAGTTTTCCTTAGGAAACCAGACTTTTAAAACATGACAGTATAACTTTGTTTGGCAGAGACTATTTGATGGCATGAAATACTCTTGAGAGTATTAACAGTAAAATATATTTTTGCATGTCTCTTCTAGTTGTTTTTCCCATTCTTTTCCCTCTTGAGAACAACTCACACTATACTCATCTGGAAAATAAAATCTGAACTTCTGATTCATATAAGTCCTGTAGAACAGGATATAATCTTAGAAGGACAGGTTACCACAGGATCAAGATGAGGTCTATTCTCAAGTTACAAATCTAGTTAAGAATCCTTACTCTAAAATATGGATAAAACAAGGATATCCACTAAACTAACTGAATTGATTCCTTCAGGGAGGGGTGTTGGGTATTGGAGAACAGAAGTAAAAGAAAGACATTTCACTTACATTCTTGTACCTTTTAGATTTTGGACTGTGCGAATGTGTTACCTATTTAAAACATTAAATAATCTAATTCACTAACTTCAACAGTCTTAAGAGATACTCAAAGTTCTTTCAGTGCTGATCAGGATGATACTATACACTCAAAACTCAGCAAAAAGATTCCGGTCCATGATACTGAATAAATTATAGTGACCAGATAGCTCTACTAAGTTGAATAGTGCTAGGCAGAATTCTTAGCTAATTAATCTTTGGCTTTTGACTCAGCATTATGCATCTCTTCATTTGGTTACCAGTGTACCTAGCTCAGGGCCTGCTATATGATAGTTCTCAAACCATGAGAGACTATGGACTCTGAAAAACAAACTGAGGGTTTCAGAGGGGAGGGGGGTGGGAGGATGGGTTAGCCCGGTGGTGGGTATTAAGGACACGTATTGCGTGGAGCATGGGGTGTTATACGCAAACAATGAATCTACATTACATCAGAAACTAATGATGTACTGTATGGTGACTAACATAATAAAAAAATTATTAAAAAATAAATAGATCATTTTGGTAAAAAAAAATAAACTTCCTATGTGTGTCTTTATTTACATAGTTTTAATCATCCTGTATATATCATTTTGTATTCTATTTTTTCCTTGGTATCTAATCAGTAGCATTTCCATGTTCTTAACTGACCTCTGTAACTAGTATTAAAAACTGTTGCATTACATTCTACCCCCCCAAAAAAAAAAAATTTGTCAAGGGAATGAACCAATAATTGCAGGGGAAAAATAAACACCTGTTTGAGAATAGGTTACATTGATTCATGATCAATAAGTGAATGCTTACAGAAAGCACAGGATGTTTATGTTCATCCCTAAACTTTTCAACTTCCTGAAGGGCAACAGTTTTTTTCAGAAACTGCCTTGTGCTTTGCAGAGACAAAATAGAGCAGATGAGTTTGGAAAATGGTACATCAGTCACCTCTACTAGAGGCTCTGTTTCAGTTCAGGAGGGGTAGTCATCAGGCAGAAGTATTTGTTTGCAAGTACACTTATTGTTTCTTGCAGCATAAGAAAACCATTTCATGGGCGATCAAGACAGGAGTATCTGTGAGAAGAGAGTTCATGAACAGTGACTCAGGGAGAAGGAGGGTGGGGGAGGAAGAAAAGGTTGCACACTGATTTAAAAGAAGAAAGAAAAAAAATACCTGCTGCCTCGTATTCAAGACGTCAATGTCAGTAGCTGAGCACTTATAAACTGTTAGCCAACACAATGCAGCCTATAAGAAGGAGCTGAGCAGAATCATCCAGGGTCATAAGAGTACTCTCTCCAGGTGGAAGGCATCAGGAAAGATGAGAGCCAGGAGAATCAGAGTAATAAGGTTTACCATGGTTTAATGCTTTAGCTTTACAAAGCATTTTTGAATGTCCTCTCATCCACGGAGGGCCTTTAAGTGCATCCACCACTGGAGGCATTCTGTAGATCTCACCATTGACTCCACCATGTCTCTATCAAGGTAGATGGAGGGGGTATGCCTTTCTCTGGGCCATTTCCCAGTGGTAACAGGATTCCAGGGGATGGTGACTCAAGACGTTTTGCCAGAAGCCTCGCTGGAACAGGAACTCTGAAAGTAAGGTTCTTTTCCCTGCATATGGGTGCTACCCTTCCAGGTTCCCAAAGAACTGTTTGCCTGCCATGACCTTGGGCTTCAGTCGCTGTGTAACTGGGCCCGTGATTGCGTACTCAGCCTACCAGCTAAACTGTCCCTGCCTTTCTCTCTACCTGGTATGCCTTCACCTTTCTTCTTCTCCAGCCAGCACCTGTCTCTCTCAGTCTTACTGGCTTCTCATATGCTTCTCAGTTGTGTTGCTTGCTGTCTGCAGAAACTGCCCACCTGGTTCCAGCATGATTAGAAATGTTTTG